ATAAATATTGATAGTTTCTCGAATTTGTGACGTTTACAAGACAGTGTAGTCGTTTTGGAACGTTTTTGGAATCGGACTTTTTTCGGTCGCCGACGATCACTGGTCGGCGAATCGTTCTCAAAGGGAACGACCCAATGGAACGATCATTCGATACTCTGCGATATTATTACGGGCAGGCGGACATTCTTTTTCAAGGTCTGCTCGTCGTGTCCCTCGGTCAAGTTTTCGCGCGAAGACATTGAAGAACGGTCAGGGCCGTCGCGAGAAACGCGCCGATCCCGGCGAGCTGTTCGTCCCTTTTGTAGAGCATAATTCCTAAAATATCTGCCCGCAAGCATTATCAATTGCTGACTAATGAGGAAATAGATCTCAGAAAATATTCATAATTTTTTTATAAAAGTTCGTTATTTTATTTTCGATAATTTCAGTTTAATTTTTAATTTATTTTTATTTTGATAATTCTAGTATATAAGCGATTGATCTTTCCTGGTGTAAATTGCTGTTTATATAGAAGAGTATAGCTTGACACAGTTTGCTGCGGTTTGAAGCTTGACCCAATTCCTTAAAGTGCGTCCACGTGTCGTCCCTAATCCACTGGACAGTCTGAGTAAAATACATTTCTATCGACCGTTACAACGATAAATTTTCTAGATAAAAATAACTTTTAAGTCATTCTCTTGAAACTTTCAATTTTTCTGCACATTCCATAATCTATCTACACCGCTCTAAAAATGTTCGCGTGACTTTCTTGCAAGAATCGCGGACAGTAGAAATTTACCGTTGGTTCTCCAGTTCTAAAAATTTCTGGTTCGATTTTGGAAGAATGTGGGAGCCAGTGGATGATCAGAGGGGCTGCCGCTATAGTTGTCACGGTGACAATATGAGAAGATCATACGCCCGTCCAGATTCCGCCGGCTAATCGGTCTTTCACCCGCGAGACCTCAACGAATAACAACCTTGGGTCCTTGGCCGCTTTATTTTCGTCTGTTTTCGAGTCTGGCGTCGCGGTCGCCTCTAAAACGCTTGATGCACACTCGTCTGCCGCGCCCACGACCCCCGACGTCTGGTTGCATCAAACGTCTGGCCTGTTTTTCCTTCCTGCCTCCACCGACGAGAGCTTCCTTCTGCTCTTTTAGCTTGTTTTTACACTCTTTCTCGCTCTCCCCCCCTTCTCTCTCTCTCTCTCTCTCTCTCTCTCTCTCTCTCTCTCTTTCTTTCTCTCACCGTTTCGACTCTCTTCATTTTTCTCCCCTCGACAAGAATTTCCATTCAGAGCGTAATTTATCTCTGGAGGCGCAGGATTTCGGGCGCCATTATTAGAGCTGCCAGATGCGGGAACCGTTCGGTTAAGAGGAATCCGATGCAGATGCGGCTAATAATCATACGCTATCCGCTTCATTCAGTGCTCCGATTACGCCGATCAATGAGACATAGTATTTGCCCCGCAGTTACAGTGTTTCCTCGGTCAATTGATTCCGTGAGTGTATACATTTTCTGCGGAGGTACAGGTGAATTTCGTATAACAATAGAAAACACGGCTTCCTGGTACGCCGGCAGCGGGAGCCTGGTTGTTTCGAAAAAGAATAACGTGTCGCTGATCGGCCCCGACTGATATTATATTCATTATCGTGGGAATCGCCGCGTAAAGTATAGTAGTAGACTTTTCACGACGTGAACGAGGTAATTGGAGACGGTCGTTACGCTTCGATCGCGGCGTGCATCCATTGCAATTATCAGTCCGTGAAAATTGCACTCGGTTGCAGCGGGTTGCGATTCATGCGGCGGCGGCAGCGGCGGCTTTCGACTCGGCCGATTCAAGATCATTGGTTCCATTAACGGCCGCGGTGTGCGCCGAGTATATAGTTCTCTCTCGCATAGGGAAACGTGTCGTAACAGCCTTGTAACTTTTTCACCGGGAGAGAGTGTTGCCGCCACTTTCACAATGGCTTGTAGTAGTTGCAACAACAAAACCCCCCGGCGGTACGGTTGCGGTGCAATTCGGGAAATTGCCGTGTTGTTGTCTCGTAGGACGTTGACCATAGCCCGCGAGAACTGCGGCGCGTAATCGTTGCAAAAAGAAGCCTTGGAGAAGTTTGTTAGCCGGGACGAAAAGCTCGCGAGCGCGATGCATCGCGGGCTGCACACGCCGAGCGATGCATACGCGATTGCATCTGACCGCGGATTCCACGGAGGACTCCGTGTAAACGTGCCTTGTCCATTACTGGCAACGGCAGCATTTACACGACGTTCTTGCGCTCCTTATTAAACGCCGGGGCTTAACCGCCTCGCATTATTTCCCGCGACCCTTTTCACGGCTCGCAGGAGACTTTGTTCGGGAAAGTAGCCGACCGGAAAAAGAGCGTGGGCGTTGAAAAGTGCGATCGAATAGGCTCCGACAGCCACGGAGCCGCGAAGATCCATCACGCCTAAAAATATCGTTCCGGCATGCAGACTCGAATGTCTCGCGCGCGTAAAGCCCGCTCCACACGCTTACGCGTGAGGCAGGGTCAGTTCTCGGTCGCTTTCTTCTTCCCCTTTCTCTTCCTTTAACCCTTTGCGCTCGAGTGACACCGTTCAGAATTACCATAATATAATTCGCAACAATGTTTAGCTTCTTAATCTTTTGTTGCATTTAATAAGTTGCTAAAAACTTCAATGTTATACAAGTAAATGCACTTAAACTCTTACAAAAAAAAAGAAAAACAAACGAAATCACCGACATAGAATGATGATACTAGATCAGAAGAAATGTCGGCGCTGCGGAGGTTACATAACTTCTTCGCGTGCGACGGTTTAATATTTAAGTTGAGAAATATCCATCGACAGACCGATCAAAAGATTCGTGCCACTTTTCTCGATCCTTTCGTCGGCTCGCTTCCTAAAAATCATTACGATACAAAGTGCAATGAGCATTCGAAATCGCGAGGTGAGCGTCCATCCGCCACGTTGCGTCACACCGCTAGCACGCTCCTCCACTGTTGACATGCGTTGCTCGCCGCAAGAATGCCAGCGTCGGATAAGAATCGATGGAAACATTTAAAACACATTAATTATTTGAAGAATTCGTGCGTGCCACTCGATGGCAAAAGAAACGGAAGCTATGCACGGCAGGGAGGAAAGCAATTATTAATCGGCGTTTTCCCTTCCCGGTAACAGAGGACAGTAATGGCACATTGTAGCGCATTCATTGCGCCGTGTGCACGCGAGCTGTAGGCCACGGCTGCCTCGGTCCACGTCCCCTCCCCGCCCCCCGTTCCACGAGTCGTCAAACCACCAAAGACAGAAACACGCGGGAGAGCCTAGCGAAGCTATACGGGGCTGGGGAAGATGAGGGGGCGGGCTGTACGGGCGACGAGGAGGCCAGGGGGCGAGCGAGGATTCTTCGTGACGGAGAAAATAAATATCGAAAGCCGTGATAGGAAAGGATAGAGAAACCACGGGCGAAAGGATACCTGTGGAGAACGAGGGAACGAAGAATCACGAAGGACAAACACGTATAGAATGCCTCGGACGGGGTCGGGGAGAGGCAGGAACGAAGATGGTGGCTCGTAGAGAAAAAAGGAATTGATAATACCCCGGATCGTTAATAAGATGCGAGCTGGGGGAGAGCATCGAGAGCTTTAATGATACAGGTCCTTCGGTGGTACGTGGATCCCGATCGGGCCACTGGGAAAAATCATTAGAATTCGACCTGAGTTCTTCAGAAAAGTTTAAACTTCATTAGAAATTATAATCATAGTCTCCCCACTCTAGATTAATAATGTGAAATACGGTCAAATCTGCAATGGTTAAAAACGCTTTACATTATGAAGATATATACGTTGAAGATAAATACAAATCGGGGAAGCTTAGAAAAGTGTAATGCGCGCACAACTGCAGATTTACCGTAAATTCAGTCCCCCCACTTCGGATTCATCGTACTGTGCCCAGCCGTGGGGGAAGGGGACAGCTATTTTGATTATACCTTCATCTTCGAAAGGCTTTAGCGAAGCGACATAATTGCTGAGATATAAATACAAGGTCCAGGAAGAGTCTTACCGAACTTGAGAATGTCTTTAAAAAATGTGTCTAGGCACGGGATTAGGGAAATCCGGATGCTTGTCGATGGTCCCCCGTCCAAAATAAACATGGTCAGACCGAGGAACAAAAGATAGCAGAAGGAGTAGTCATTAGCCGGTCGGAATCATCGAGCGACGAGCACGGAGCCGGGTAGGCCGGGGCTGGACATCAAACGTTCGAAGAAACAGACGTGGAAAAAGGGGGTTCGGGTATAAAAACGCGCGGGAAAGGGACGGGAAGATGGCGTCGTAGATGGAGGATCAAAGAGCGGGACGGAGTACGATGGTTCTTCGGTGGGCGCGAGGTTACGAGCGCGAACGAGATGAAACCAGTGGAACGAGTGGAACGAACCGCTGCTGGCGGGAAAAGGAGACGCTACGGAGGTAGTGGGAGGCGGGAAGACTACCGACGGAGTGGTGGAAAGATGAACGAGAGGAACGGGGGGCTAGGGGGGCAACCGGTGGAATAGTTAAGTGAACGGCGTGGTGGGGGGTACAAGCGTCGAAGGGGGACCGGGGGGACGGAAGGGAGGAAATACTACGAGTCCACGCGCTCCTATAGTAAATCGACTATAGTACTATGAGTCAGTCACACCCACAAGCCGGTTGTGGGTTCAAGACCCTCGTTGCACGTTCGTGCACCGCTCTGTGTACACGTACACAAGCGCGCGCGCGCGAGCTCACGAGGTCACGCGTACGGACACGGTCGAGAATCTATTGGCCTTGCCACGGGAGATCGTGGGGATCATCCTCGGGACGAATAAAATCATCGTGGTTCGCTCGCGTGGGCGTACAGAAACAATTTCAATTCCAAACATAACTAAATTCTAATCCCACACATGCCTTGCCGTGGCACTCGTTTCGAGGTGCGACTTCTTGGACACCGTGTGTATTCGACACACGAATTTTCCTAATGTCTAACCGGCCGAATTTTGGTTTCAGTCAGGTGAATGTTGGATACGGAGAGCAGACACAGTACTGGGCTGGATCAGGGGCCGACGAGGGACCCTTGGCTCACAATGGATTACTACCTTGGCACGGACAGCCTGTCGCTCCAGGAGATGCTGGACGTGGACATTAAATGTGAGATCGAGGGAGTCATCAGTGGCCACCCGGAGCTGGGCTTTAACTTTACGGACATGTCCACCCTGGAGATGGACGACGATCCCATCGGCTGCCAGAACGACCTCAGCGGATGGTTCGGGTCCACTAGCTTTCTGAACGGCAACAGCAACAGCTCCAACAGGTGTTTATTTCATTCGAAAACCTGGTAAATAAGGAGGACCCACCTCTCGTGACCTTGACTACGTATGTAGAGGTCAAGGTTATCGGGGGTCAAAAGACTCGTCAGAGATGAAATACTTAACGTCCGGTTCGATCTTTTCGTTTCAGCAATTTCAATCTGGATCTCAGCGGAGGAGACGCTGCTTCAATTATGGTAAACCCTAACTCGGTGATGCCACACATGGCGGTCAGGAGTCCGACACCCAACAACACCAGGAGGCACTTCTCCTTCTCGCCGAAGAGAGAGATTAAAGAGGAGAAGATCGACGTCGAAGAGGATATGGACAACGAGGCTGATAGTTGTACGGAGAACGAGAACGAAAATGACAACGATCCGGAGAACGACCTTGAGAACGACACCGAGACAGAGCAGTACGAGAACGACATCACGGAGACCGAGGACGATTCTGAAGACGAGCAAGAGATCTCGAAGCCGGTGACACCGACCAAGTCGAAAACGATCTCCATAGCGGCCGTAAAAACCACCACGCCTCAGTTCGCTAGGAGCCAGACCACCCACAAAATGCACGGAGTCTCCAGCATCAGGGTGCAGAACTTCAAAGTGCTACAGAGTCCCGGCCATGCGCAGCAGTATGTCCGAAAACAGATATACAATAACAACGTGCACGTCGGTTCGACAACGACCACAGTCGCCGCCCTGAAGAGGGAGAAAGAATTCGATTTGTCCGACTATGACGACAAACCATACCCCAAACCAGCGTACTCGTACTCCTGCTTGATCGCCATGGCATTGAAGAACAGTCAGACGGGATCTCTACCGGTCTCGGAGATCTATAACTTCATGTGGTGTGTCTATTAAACGTTTTCGCACAGAAAATCCCTGCGGTGATGCTTCATCCACTTTTGGTTTGATAATTTTCCAAGTCAGAATTGAATTTCTTGCTGTTACAGCTGATACACATATTTGCAACGGGCGCAAAATGACGACCAGATAGTTACGAGTTTTTCAGGCGACAGGGAACAAACAATGCAATCGCGAAGAGCTGTCCGGGTGGAAGAGGGTTGAAGCATGATTAATATTTTCTTGATACGCCGTCGAACAATGGGGTTCCTATTTGACAAACGACGTGTTGCCGACCTATTCGTTTATTTTCGACCATTTGGCCGGAAGGATAAGGGCTGGTCGAAGCCCTCCGGTGTTTAGCCCGCGAGGGGAGAAAGTATTGTCGTCCCTTCCTTTATTCCCAGGTTACACGGGGGGAAGCTGCCATTTTGTGTGGGGCTCTTGGAGCACCAGGTGCATGGCAGAGTGGTACAGTCCCTGTGGAAAATTACGCGCGTGCCCTTTGTCCGACTAGCTGCCCTTCTTCCCCATCTTGCATCACGCTATCGCTATCCAATTCAGTTTTTCGCAACTTAATAATCTGCTAGTAATTATTTCAAATATGAAACCGTGAATAAACCACAATAAAGTGAATTAAAAATGGATGAAAATTATACGAAGGATCCTTTATGCCAGTGTCTTTTATTGATTTAGCGTGTGCTAACCTGTTTACCTCTTTTCTAGCGAGCACTTCCCGTATTTCAAGACAGCGCCGAACGGCTGGAAGAACTCGGTGAGGCATAATCTGTCTTTGAACAAGTGTTTCGAGAAGATAGAAAAGCCGGCAGGCAATGGAAACCAAAGGAAGGGTTGCCTGTGGGCGATCAACCCAGCCAAGGTTGCGAAGATGGACGAGGAGGTGCAGAAGTGGTCTAGGAAGGATCCTCTGGCGATCAAGAAGGCGATGATCTACCCGGACCACCTGGAGCTTCTGGAACGTGGTGAGATGAAGTATGCGGGCAGCGGGGACATGTCCGAAGAAACAGAGAGTTCCGGCGACGAAGCTGTCGAAGAGAGCACAACGTACGACGAGTCTGTCCACAGTCACATAGCAGCAAACTCGGTGACGGACAGCTACGACGAGAGCAGCCAGGACTGTGATATTGATATCGTGGAGCACTTGTACGATGAGATCGACATTGAGGATAATCAGGAGGCGCTGCACATGCAGCTGAACATCTCCAAGCAGGAGACGTTCGAATATGAACTCAGCCCCACCACGAAGAGGCAGAAGACGCTAACGGGTGCGATACAGGGGAACTATGTCTACCAGCCAGTGACAACGTCCAGGAGAAAAGCGCCCCTGCTGCTGCGAGCCGGGGCCGGGAATGGCTCCTTCCTCAAGATAGATTAAACTTGGACGCAGTTGAGACTCCGAAATTTCTAGTTTTCTATGTATCCATAGGCGTAGAGCGAGCCAGGGCACGTGTCCACCCAAGAGGAAAACAATTGATCTGTGTTCCGACAGTAAGTCCTGATTGCAAGAGCATGTCAATAATCAATGAGAAGATCGACTTCCGTGGCCGAGGGAACGACGACCAAGATTATCCAGAAGCTTCTCGATTCATAGAATTTATTTTACCACGAGGCTGCACATTTTTTCTATTTTTCTACCAACGTTCGTGATGTTCAGTACAATTTCTACACCGAGAGCAGCTTCTGCGTGAATCTAGAAGTCGGTGACACGGAAGCCCTTCTTCAATTACTCTTAATAATTATTTAAGCGACTCATTTTACCCTAAACTAATGTCTCCCCACTGCAACTTCGCGGATTGTAGCGGTGATATATATAGCCGTGACGTTACGGAGGGAACACTGTAACGACCGTTGCAGCACCTAAACCTGCTGACCGCAGAAAGCATTGCTTTCTAATTACGGTCAGCAGTTTTAGGTAATAAAAACAGTTGCGTTCAGGTAGTGACAGTGTCGAGAATCAGGGTCACAGCAATTTTTTTCCTCGACGGTGATAGTCGCAGTGTGAAACTTTCTTTATTCCTCCCACTTTTAATTGGAATAGGTAACAGTACCGTATCTGGTTGTCGACTTTTTATACGATTGACGAACTGATTTTCCAGGACGTATGAAAATATATAATAGACGACGATGAGTACACGTAATGGTTGTAGAAAAGAAAAGAAAAAATTGTAATCGGAGCGTAGGACGAAGCGGTTAGTGTTACGAAGTTAAGTCGAATAAGTATTTTGGTCAGCGGACTGGCCAGACTGATGTATTATATACTTTTTTATGCATTGCTGGACTGCGAGCGAATTAATTGTAAATGTTTCCCGCGTTTGTATACCTGACGCATGAAGCGAGAGACGACGATGGAGATACTTAGAATTTCGAAGCATATTAATTAACGGGACACAGGTATATAGAGTACAAAAAAAACGGTGAAAACGATGACAGCTGTAGGAAACGATTCGAATTTGTAAAATGTTGTAGCATATATATTACGGAACGTAGTGGGGGCGGTTAGGAATAATCGTATACCTGATTTAAGGACAAAAGATAGACTTATTCCGCTCCCAAAACAGTTCGACGGTTCTCTTTGTATTTCTTCTCTATACTTCTATTCCTTCAGCTTTTATTTAAGCATAGGCGTCGAGTTCGTTCCTTTACTTGTTAGGCCAGTGGAGCTAATCGAACCTGTAATTATTTTCGTCCCCCACTGATCTTTTTATTTTTAACCGAACGATCGCATGTATGTGTATATACATAATTTTAGTCATTCGTCCGGAGAGGGGAGAGGAAACAATGTCTACTTAATTTTAATTTCGTTTCGTACAACTTCTTCTCAGACTGTGTACTACTGGTCCGTATTACTGTCCCCGAAGCGGCCAGAAGGAAATTTAGCAAAATTTTCGCAGTGTTCTTTCGTCAATCGCTCGATCTTCCATTAGGGAATTCAAATTTCACGCCAGTAATGCGCAGTCTGACAGCGGGAAAGTTTGAAATACTGCGTTATCGCGTCGTCGTGAGAGGGGAATCCGGCATGACGAGGGATTCCGCTTTGGTTGAGAATTCTACAGCGTTTCTATTTTTTCATAGACTGTAAAATTTGTAAATAACCGTCGGACGCTATTTGTCAGTCTCTGTCGCAGATGGTTCTGAGGGAGAAACCGATCTGCGCCACCTCTCATCCGACACCTAGTTCGGCTGTGCCCCGTCGTCGATCGGGGAACAGTAGCATATTCTAAAGGGTAGATGAAGCATTCAGAAAGTAGTCTTCGTGATCTGTAAATATTGCGCTATATATACCGGGTAGAACATGTAATTGAAACAAATTTCACCATTGTCTAGTCAACGATTTGAATGGAAAATGATACTCCACGAAAATCATTGCTGAGACAGTAGTTAAAATAGTTCCAATTACTACACCCAATATATGTATAATATAGTCCTTTTTTTACGAACCAAGTTTTACAAGTACAGTAGCTTCGTCTCGCGTGAGAGAAAGAGAAAGAAAGAAAGAGAGAGAGAGAAAGAGAGAGGGAGAGTTGCGACAGTAGGGTGTACAAAAGCTTATCTTTTTTTTTAAGGTAGAACAAACACAGAAGAAAAACAGAAAAAGAAAGAAATCTAGACGTGGGACCAATCTGTATTTTAGAATCTGTTTCTAAGTTTAATCTGTAAGCTTTCCTCCATTTGCGAACACGGTTCTTTTCTTTTTTTGTATAGTCCCTGTAAATAATCTAGCTTTTTCTTCATTTTCCAAAATAAACGACTAGACGTTTAAGTTTTTTTTTATTTTTACAATTTGAAAAGAAAAAGGAAAACGAAAGAAGCAAAAAAGAACTGATAACCCGGTATTGCGTCTGATCTCGTGGGAGTGCATATGTACCTCAGGCCCCGTCAGAAAAGCTGTCGAACAAGAGTATGTTCGGTGCAAGCGTGATATAGCTTATTTTTTTATTTGAATGCTCTTGACTCGTGTACACCTTCGAACAATGCCATAATAATAGTTAACGATACCGACGTATTTTTTTAACGCGTTTTAAGCGAACAGGTGCTGCGAGATTCTGATAGCGAGTAAAGTACTCTTTCGTAGTCTATACCCCTTCAGCGACCGAAAGTCCTGAAGTAGTATTTCGCGGTTAGGGTATTCGCAACGTTGCATCTAATTGATGTCCAAAAGGAAAAAAGTATTGTTCCCCGTTGAAAACCAAATTAAACGCACGATATACGATTGTGGAGCATCGTGACTCGAGAGATTTGTTCACAACAAATGATTAATTTTTTACAAAATAGGAATATTAAAGTGGAAGACGATAAATTCACATTCAGGTATTTTGCAATAACTTTTATTTGAAAAGTGTGTGAACAAATACATGAGTCTCACAGTACGTTAGAAGTGTTAACGTGAGCAAAGTATTAATTATTCTGGAAAATTGTATATTTTTTATTTATTATTCGGTCGGATGATCTCTCTATAGCAGACATGTAAAGACTTAGGATTTGAATAAAGTATGGAACATTATACGACTCAGTACTCATACTATGAACCGTGTGATCGAGTGCCTTGGGTTGTGATAATGCTGATTCTTTTTCGACAATGTTTTCTCGAAATTCTGAACTGCTGGCACTGCCTTTTGTAAGCGACCATCGAACGGGACGATGCATCTTGAAATGTCACTGCCAACTTTCGAAGATCTCTCATATTGTTAACTTTAATTTTACATTTAACAATTAGGCGGACTGCGGACTTTTATGCGGAATGCAAATTTCTTCGCCACAACGTCAGCAATTCCTTCAATTTATTAAAATTATTCAATTCATCTGAACCTATTCTGTTGTTATTTCGGTGCAAGTATACATATATGCATCCGCAGTCCAGCTGCTTCATCGACTTCACGTCACATAAATAAATTATAAAAATACGAGACGAACACTGTACATAGCCGCAGATAGTGTCCATTGTGATGAACAACAACCCAATTAATTAATTAATCGAACGATCAATATTGTTGGATCTGCATTCCGCCCTATGAAGGATTAACCCTTTATTTTTAGGACAGAACCTGGGCACAAGAATAGTCCCAGCGATAGTCTCAGAAGTCTTGTTTTATTTTTCTATTAATATGTACCGTGTATCTATGTTCCATTTTTCTAAGAGAAAGTATTGAAAAAGTCGTTTACACGAATAAAGGGTTAATTACTTGGAACTGGATAGATACAGCAGCTTCCTGTTAATCGATAATCTATTACGAACGACGGTAAATTTGTAATCCATGAATAAGTAAAATAACGATATATGATAAGGGACGTAGAGTAGTTTTTGTACCTGTTTGTAATATTTCTATACGATATTATAAATGTATGTAATGTTCGTGTAGATGCAGCAGTGGTAATTTGTAATGATAATGTATATGTGCAATGAGAAGTTTCAGTAATAAAATGTTGGGAAATGCGATCTTATTCTTGTACATTCAAAGATCGATTCAAACTAATCAAGGCATTTCTCTCATAGTTAGCGATCGAGAGTTGTTAATTTTTCGCCATGATTTCCAATTTATTTTTAGTTTTATGAAACTCAGGAAAGATTCTAAAGGTACGTATAATAAATGTACCTATAGTAATTATTTACATATTTTATTTGTAATTACATTTATTGTTTTATTTTAATTTAGATAAAACTCTTCCGTTTGATCGTCTGTGCTGCTAGTTGCGGACAGTGATAGTAGCCACATGTTTTTAGATTTTTAGTATATTGTCGTAGTGAGATTTTCAAATGTTAATTAGTCTATCTAAAAGTCCAAATTTCCAGCTTTAATTTGAGCTATCGGACGTTAAAAAATACTAAGGGAAAGATGATGAAATATTACTTTTTATGTTAACGATTGTTAAGGTAATAGTGGCGCCTCTTGTTGGAATATCTTGAAGCTTCCAAGAGGGTCCGTACAGCGCCAAAACCCGTAGTGGCAAAACGCCCAAACTGTTGGGCAACGTGACCGACGCAGACGACAAATGTAAATGTCGCCACCTGGTGTGAACTTTTTTAACCCTTTGGGAGGAGACTGGTGTTGGTGTCGCCACAGTCATATGTCGACTTTTCTCATTTGGTACCATCTAGCAGAGCAAAGTAAAAACAAAATTGGTGAGAAGTTTGAACATTTTGCCGCTCTCTGTTTTGGCGCTGTACGGAGGTCGAAAGAAACTTCTTGAACTTCCCGAAAGGAGCACTATTATCATTTGCAATAATAATCAACTAAAAATTAAATTTTAATGTCTTCCTGTTGATATTTTTTAACTTTCGGTAACTCAAATTAGAACTAAACAATTGCACATCTCGAATGAGTAATTATGACTTGAAAATAATTGCGATAACATACCAAGCATAGATGGCGCAAATATTCTATTTCAATACGGTATACTAAGGTTTTCCCGCGTGTTTAAAGGGAATCGGTGATCATTGTGTACATATCTCGACATATGTATATCTTGTACATATTTCATTACATATCTTGATATATTAACAATGGAGTTTACTTTGGCGGATACTTATAACATGCTGAAAGACACGAGGACGGAACGATTATGGCAAATAGATGAATTAGTGCTCAAATCTTCTGAAATGAATGCATCAAGTTCCAGTCAGTACAATAATGTAGACGAAATCCCAAAGAAGCAGTCCAAAATGTGCATTAGTTTGCTTAATGAAATTGCTCAAGAAGAACCAAAGGATTATCCTTTACCTAAGTCGTCGCATATAGAAGAGGATGTCATGAGTTGCTTGAGGGACGAAATTAAAAACACTCTAAATCTGCAGGAAAACATGAAAGACTGCTTGTCAGAGATCCAGCAAGACATAGCATAGTTTGTAAAATGAATGTGTACAGTAGATCCTTACAGGACCTACATAAAAATTGTCTGGCCCCCATAGAATCAAATAAAAATCGTGACCCTTGNGAAGGATTAACCCTTTATTTTTAGGACAGAACCTGGGCACAAGAATAGTCCCAGCGATAGTCTCAGAAGTCTTGTTTTATTTTTCTATTAATATGTACCGTGTATCTATGTTCCATTTTTCTAAGAGAAAGTATTGAAAAAGTCGTTTACACGAATAAAGGGTTAATTACTTGGAACTGGATAGATACAGCAGCTTCCTGTTAATCGATAATCTATTACGAACGACGGTAAATTTGTAATCCATGAATAAGTAAAATAACGATATATGATAAGGGACGTAGAGTAGTTTTTGTACCTGTTTGTAATATTTCTATACGATATTATAAATGTATGTAATGTTCGTGTAGATGCAGCAGTGGTAATTTGTAATGATAATGTATATGTGCAATGAGAAGTTTCAGTAATAAAATGTTGGGAAATGCGATCTTATTCTTGTACATTCAAAGATCGATTCAAACTAATCAAGGCATTTCTCTCATAGTTAGCGATCGAGAGTTGTTAATTTTTCGCCATGATTTCCAATTTATTTTTAGTTTTATGAAACTCAGGAAAGATTCTAAAGGTACGTATAATAAATGTACCTATAGTAATTATTTACATATTTTATTTGTAATTACATTTATTGTTTTATTTTAATTTAGATAAAACTCTTCCGTTTGATCGTCTGTGCTGCTAGTTGCGGACAGTGATAGTAGCCACATGTTTTTAGATTTTTAGTATATTGTCGTAGTGAGATTTTCAAATGTTAATTAGTCTATCTAAAAGTCCAAATTTCCAGCTTTAATTTGAGCTATCGGACGTTAAAAAATACTAAGGGAAAGATGATGAAATATTACTTTTTATGTTAACGATTGTTAAGGTAATAGTGGCGCCTCTTGTTGGAATATCTTGAAGCTTCCAAGAGGGTCCGTACAGCGCCAAAACCCGTAGTGGCAAAACGCCCAAACTGTTGGGCAACGTGACCGACGCAGACGACAAATGTAAATGTCGCCACCTGGTGTGAACTTTTTTAACCCTTTGGGAGGAGACTGGTGTTGGTGTCGCCACAGTCATATGTCGACTTTTCTCATTTGGTACCATCTAGCAGAGCAAAGTAAAAACAAAATTGGTGAGAAGTTTGAACATTTTGCCGCTCTCTGTTTTGGCGCTGTACGGAGGTCGAAAGAAACTTCTTGAACTTCCCGAAAGGAGCACTATTATCATTTGCAATAATAATCAACTAAAAATTAAATTTTAATGTCTTCCTGTTGATATTTTTTAACTTTCGGTAACTCAAATTAGAACTAAACAATTGCACATCTCGAATGAGTAATTATGACTTGAAAATAATTGCGATAACATACCAAGCATAGATGGCGCAAATATTCTATTTCAATACGGTATACTAAGGTTTTCCCGCGTGTTTAAAGGGAATCGGTGATCATTGTGTACATATCTCGACATATGTATATCTTGTACATATTTCATTACATATCTTGATATATTAACAATGGAGTTTACTTTGGCGGATACTTATAACATGCTGAAAGACACGAGGACGGAACGATTATGGCAAATAGATGAATTAGTGCTCAAATCTTCTGAAATGAATGCATCAAGTTCCAGTCAGTACAATAATGTAGACGAAATCCCAAAGAAGCAGTCCAAAATGTGCATTAGTTTGCTTAATGAAATTGCTCAAGAAGAACCAAAGGATTATCCTTTACCTAAGTCGTCGCATATAGAAGAGGATGTCATGAGTTGCTTGAGGGACGAAATTAAAAACACTCTAAATCTGCAGGAAAACATGAAAGACTGCTTGTCAGAGATCCAGCAAGACATAGCATAGTTTGTAAAATGAATGTGTACAGTAGATCCTTACAGGACCTACATAAAAATTGTCTGGCCCCCATAGAATCAAATAAAAATCGTGNAAATATTCAAGATTATTTTTTATAATATTGGGGGCCACAGTATTTTTAGAATTATTTAATAACACTTACATTATATCTGTCATAGTTTACAAGACAAAAAAATAGGGCTGAAGAACATGGAAAGTGTTTACATAGAACAGGCTGAGCATGCAGGGACTACAACATACAGTGCAGAAGAAGCTATAACTAAAAATATATTCCATGAAGTGAAACAGGATTTGGTAAGCCAAAGAAATACACAGACTTTTGTTACAATGACTTAATTAATTTAATGTTACAGGACGACGTGGTCGACATCCTGTTCCCAGAAAATCAAGAAATCAGACAGTTTCTTTCGGTAAAGTTAAAAAAATATTTTGCTACCAGATCATTCACGTAGCTTATATCAATAAATTTCTAGCTTCTCACGATTTCGTACACAAAAGGAGGAGACGACGTTTACGTCGACATGACACCCGACGTCATCGACTTCGCAAATTTTTTGATCGAAGCGGACATCGCTACTAAACACAGGAATGATAGCAATAAGATCAGATTGATGGACATGTTATAAATGTTCTATGTCGGGCTTCGAAACATAGAAACTTAAATATAAAAATACAAATTTTGTACTTTGAAGTTTCACCACATAAACGGTGCTCTTTCTCTTAATACTCTAACGCCTATGTGTTCCCATTCTTGACGACCAATCCACAGCTCTTGAGCGGACTCTAAACAGCTTAGAATCGCCGCGCCTTTCCACGCAGTCATGCCCGGATCCATTTCCTTTGGCTGTGTTATTATATCCAGTTGTTCTACAACAATTTTCTCGTGCGATAACAACCCTTACAAATTTGCAATTTATCAAACTTACCAGCTCTGTACATGTAGGGGATTTGAAGGGAAATCCGATTGTGGAGCCACATACCAATGCCTTGAAACTTCATCCCTGAGCCCACGACCAGCACGCAACTGTACATCTTTCTCTTCAAATCTTCAGTAGCTATCAAGTAGAATAAACTTTTAACGTTTCAATTAAAGACACTCTTGCAGCGACAAATACATACGACAACGATCGATGCTCTGTAGCACAGCGTGATCGAGGCCCAACAGCTGCTGTGGACCAACCACAAAATCTCGTGGAGCATCCAAATCACGATTTGACAAAGCAATCGGCGCAGAGTCTACGGCATCTACTACCACCTCCTCTTCTCCGACTGCTGTTGGAGCTGTTGCTTCCTCTTGCAATTCAGAGGTTTGCTCCAAACTTTCTTTCATACCCCTCCTGCTAGTCTCTCTCAAATAATTTTCATCATGTGGGTCCTCCGGATCGCCCATTGATCTTTTTTGTATGTGCACATTATGGGTTCCAGTGACTTTAAACAATTCTGGTTGGAACAAACTAAGTGGCGCTACCAGACACTCGTCGCCTACTTGCAGCGTGTATTTCTCTGTCTGCTGTTTAGGTTTGCGAACGACGAATGTCTTTTCTTGCGATCCGCATACGTTTAGATCGACGTGACAAAAATCTTTTTTTAGCTGATTCAAAAGCAGAGCGTCTAGTTTATTCGAGGTGTCGCAGGTTTTGTATGGAAATGCGCATTTCTGCAGCAGCCAGAAAAATGTCTGAGTTATGTCACCACCCCCATAGTCCATTCTGACTCTGGTGTTTCTGTGGGAAATTCCGTCTTCTACACAGGAAACAGATGTCTTTTGATCGCCAACGTCGACCACGCAGGCATAGCCTAAACCTGCGCCGAATGTGGCTGCTACATGATCCTTTAAAAGAAGAAACTAAGTTATATATTATTTGAGTACTCGAATGCGGGCTATAACGGCTTTCATTAAGTACCTGCAAAAGAAAGCATGCTCCAAATCCAATCTCACAGAGCATTAAAGTTGTTAATTCCTTCAGGTACTGCCTATTATAGATATCTGGAATTATTAGCACTGCTCTGTAATGTTTTAAGTCTCTTAAAGGAATGTCCATTTTGTCTGTAAGCACGTATTCCCAAATGGTTTTTAGATCAGCCATTACAGCTCTCAAACTTCCTCCAGGACCCGAGTGAACATTAAGTTCTCCTCTCTTGTATGGAAAATGAACATTGAAGTTATCCTCTGGGTTCAAAGATAGTATGTCATCCCCAATCACAACATCTTTGTTTGTCTTTATCCACTCCACACTACAAGGAGAGGATACTTCCGGATTGGATCTACGGTTAAAGGCAGCTATCTGCTGTGGTGGTGTGGCATATCTTCTCCTTCCATCGGATTGGAGACAAGATTGCAGGGTATGAGACACCTGTAGACGTGACTCTTCCATTGCTTGGGTCAATTCTTTTGTCTACTAAAAGCACGAAGAATTAACAGATTTGTTTAATCAATCTTCCATGGGGAAACTTACTCGTGGAACTGCAGGGGGTAGTAAGCTGTCCTTATACTCTAAACCCCCGGGTAGTCTTCTTCTTGCTATACCATTTAACATAGTGCAGGGGTTCAAGTCGGATGCTCTACCCATTCTGAGGTACATAGAGCCAGGGTGAATTATAACAATGGTCTGAGCTTGAATTTGCTGAAAGACCCTTAAGCATTAAACACACATTGGTACTTAATATTTAACTTAAGATATTACCTCTGCACATGACTCTTGAAAAACCGGCATGATTAAATATTATGATGCCTTGATATGTAATTGACGGATTACGTATGTGTTTCATTGAACAAATTCGCGAGTTGTGAATAAAATTACTGCATAAATACACGAATGTGTTATTCGTGTTTTCTAAATCAGTTACAGATGCGTTAAATGATAGAATATGCACGTGGCTCCATCTAATTGTGAAACGCTGAACCGTTTAGTTGGTTGACAAGCATTTTTACCCTAGGCGGTAAATAGAACTAGGGACACTAAGGGACTAGACACTAGGGAAAAGGTAAAGGACTAGATACATACTGGGAAAAGTAACGAATTACGGTAGGTCAGGGACTACAATCTAGCGAAGGTAAGCGACAAGGAATTTAGAGAAGATAAGAAACTGAAGACTAGGGAAGGTGAAGGACTAGAAATTGGTGAAAGTAAGAATCTAGAGAAATTTTGAAATACGATGTGCGCTCCTCCACTCGTAGATAAAGTCGTTTCAACAAAAATTCCCGAACTTAACACCAGAGGGTCATCAAGCCACATTCTCGCAAATAGCTGATCGCTCAATTTTCATCGATAAGAAATCGAAAGGTCCGAACTGTAGAATCAATGATATGCCTAATCTCTAGATGTTCAGAAACGGCATCGTCATCCTTGAAGTTAGATTAATCGACCAACAACCGAGTTACGTAATCTCACTTTCTATACCTAATCAAAACTCTCTATCGATGCAGATATTCTCTAAATCCTTATCCTCGCGTTATCAACGATGATATCTACGTTTTCGATACAAAGAATTCTAATATCAGAGATCGCCCAAGCCTGTTGTAGAAGTGGGAATACGAGTGTAAGCAACATTTCATGGGAAAAGAGAGGGGGACCGTTGTGTTTGAAGGGTTCTTTCCACGGTAAAGGGAATCGTTCGGCAGTGCAACGACACGCTCCTGCGAGTTGTGATCGCGATCGAGAGGCTTACGGTGCTCTGTCTCTCTCTCGATTCTCTGTTGGATCGCGTAGGAAATATATAGATCGACGGGTGTCTGGCTCGTTAAACGGATCAACGAACAACTTGAAACGCGACTCCGCGCGACGCCGAACGATCGTTTAACCCAGTTAACGACGACGGAAAACGAATCATTCGTTCTCGTATGCACCGCGGAGACCGAGGTCGGATCAACGATCTGCGATGGAGGCACGCTCTCGTGGCCACTGAATCAGACCTACGATAATAACGGATGACGATAAAACCGATAAGCAGCATATTGTGTCCAGCAGGCGAGAAATTTTTCTGCGAACAGTAGGTCAGATATGACGTATCGCTGCAACTTTTTCGTTTCTTCGCGCCACTAGCACCGTTGTTTTCGCACGGGAACGTCGACCAGAGCAACCTTAGGCCAGGTAAGATACGTCGCAACCATTCCCATTCCCTATCGTCGCTAATATCGACAGCGCCGGTCACCGGTGGGCGGCACCAGATTTCAGCGGGAACCGCTTCGAAACAATATTAATGCATGTTAATCCCCCGACTATTATCGTCTTATTTTCGTGAGACTCTGTTAAAGTCCGGCACTTAAAAATATAAGTCGACGTGTAAGCGGAGAAACGTAAACCGAGAAGTCGGGGATCGTTGAATCGGTGATCGAGCGGCCGATCGCGATGAAATTGGTAACTGTGAGAAACTGAAACGTGACACCAGCAATCTGAAAAACCGGTATATCGGCTGTCTGTGGTTTCTGGCACTGACACAAGTCACAAGACCGCCTGCAAACGTGCCGTTATCGTTATCGTCTCTATGAACACACAGACTCTCGGTTGTCGTTGCACCCGTCGTTTCACCATTCGCTTCTTACCTAAGAACTTGCTACGTATCCTGTATATGTTAATCAGACCAATGTTTTTGCAGAGACATGCCATTGTTCAAGGGGCGTGCAGCCCAGAGATCGCCGACTTTAGAGAAGCTGAACGGCGGCGGCCATCACGGCAACAACAACTACAGTCAGCAGAACGGGAACGAAGGGGAACAGACGCCATCCGACGCCGGTAACGGCGGTCGCGGTGGTCAGAAGAACAACAATGCAGAGGCGCAGGAACAACGGAGATCGTCGAGGGTCTCGAGACCTCCTTTGGTCTTCCACTGCCAACTGGCCCATGGCAGTCCCACCGGGCTGATATCGGGCTTCAGCAATGTACGGGAGCTGTATCAGAAAATAGGGGAATGCTACGATCTACCTGTGGATCAAGTGAGTCGAAACCGGGCAAACGGGCCCCTTCGTTTGGGCCAGACGCAATGGTATTTTGGGTCTGGCCACGCATAGCTGAACGCTTCAGCGCCGCGTATTTTACGGGAAGAGCTGTCCCGGATACAGGAAACATCGGTTACGGGCCGCGGCCTCCCGTCAGCACACATCCTCTGTGAGAGAGACACGTAATAACTGGTTGTAAATGTTGCGGACACGTTTCATACGCTGGCCGCCGCTAGGCATTTAAATAAGGACCACTTGTTGCGTCGCTTAATAGTGAAAGTTGACTGCCAATGATTCAACGATTTTATAACTGAACCAATTAGCGGTATATTTCTTGAGGTCGAGTAAGTAGCTCTTGTAGCGCAACTTTCTACCGCTCAATTTAAATTAGCTAAAACAGCATTAATGCGTCAAGGTTTTAATGGTCCCGTCATGGCCGCCGCTAAAAAGCGCGGGAAACTCGTGGTTCGCCCATGCGCGGCAGTTTCATTTCGCTAAAGAAATTTAGCGTGACAATTAGGGAGGATACTGATCCGTTTAATTTTCCGTGCAACATGTTCAACTATTCGCTAGACATCGTGCTTCCACACGCACGTTCACTTTCGATGGGAATCTAATATGACTTCCTCTTTTTTCAGATACTCTTCTGTACACTCAACACACACAAACTGGAAATGACTGAGCTGTTAGGCAGTCAGATAGGCGTGGGTGACTTCATATTCGCTCATAAGAAAGGTCAGTCAACATTATTCTGTTAATCGTTATATAAATATTAACACCGATTTGTTGCTTTAGGGAGACCTAAGGAGATCGAGCTGGTGAAATCGGACGACGCTCTAGGGCTCACCATAACCGACAATGGTGCCGGTTACGCTTTCATTAAACGCATCAAGGAAGGTTCGGTAATCGATAGGATAAAGGTGATAGAGGTCGGGGATCATATTGAGAAGATCGATTCGGATAGCTTGATCGGTAAACGGCACTTCGAGGTGGCTAAAATGTTGAAAGAAATTCCAAGAGGTTCATCTTTCACGTTGAGGCTCGTCGAGCCGTTGAAAAATGGATTCGGCAGCATTGGTCCACGGGGGGACCTTAAAAAGGGTAAGAAGTCGGGATATGGTTCCGGGAAGGAGACGCTGAGATTCAAAGCTGATGGCAGCGCCCAAATTGTCGAAACAGTAATTAGTTCTTTTTATAAAGAAAATTTATCATGAATCAATTATAAAATATTTACTTAAAAATTATTTCTTGCGTAGGTGGATGATGCAGCGACAGTGGGTATCGACAAAATTAACGTGATTTTGGAGAGTTTCATGGGTATATATGATACTGAATTAGCAACACAAATCTGGGAGCTGTCTGAAGGCAAGGCCAACAGCATCGATTTCGCGGAGGCAATAGATAATTCGGACCTAGAGGATTTCGGATTCACGGACGATTTTGTAATCGAACTATGGGGTGCAGTTACCGATGCCAGAGCTGGAAGACATCGATGATGAAAACGGCTAATTTGGAGGCCATGATTATTGTACATTTGATAATTGCCCGGCGATGACTTTCAATCGTAGTTTCCCAACGCTCAGGAAATCCGAGAGACGATAACATTCCAATTTTGTATTATTTTGTTCTGTTTATTCTCAGATAAATAGTGAACTTTGGAAAAGCGGGCTGTAAGCCAAAATAGATTGGGAAACTATGACCCAAATAATATTAGAGATAATTAACAGAGTAATTATATTGTAAATTATTACTTTATTAGCGTGTAGGCCTAGTATGCAACTAGAACGAACGCAAGAGAAGTATATAAGTCTCAAGATTGATGAGAAAATAGGCAATAAACAATCTGGAGAACACTTGATTTAGATTGTTTTCCTCTGTTCCTAATAATTGATTTTTCATGTTTTCAGACCTTGAAATCAGGATGTTTTCCTCTAATCTCGTTCTTTATCAGTCGATTAATTATGGCAAATAAGGACCGATATAATTCACATAAGTCTGTTATCTGCACAGTCGGTATTGATATCTACATATGTACATACGCATTCATGCACATATTACACAGCAGTGGAACATCGGCGAAATTTAACGTAGCAAACAAGTTTCAAAATCCGTGAATAAGACGTAGTACACAATCATGACTTTTGCTATAAGCAGGGCCAGCTGCTTGCTCTTTCGCATGAGCGAAAGTTCGAGAAACAGTTATAAAAATTTTAAACTTTCGAGGGTACGTAAACTGCTCCAAAAAATAACAAATCATTCCGTTCACTCTAACCTAACTTAACCTATACTTCCACCCGGTATATGCATGTAAGAATATGCAAGAAAGTGCTAGATAATAACTGATTTGTAAATAATTAATCGTAATAAAGCCGCATTATATACTAGTAATCATTTACTACTGCAAACTATTTAACGCTTAAGTGATGCTCAATATGGACTTAAAAATGCAACAACTTATGTCAATACATTTTGTATTCATTTTCATCGAATAGTTAATTCTATTCACAGATATGCGCAGTCAAATTTTCCGTTAAAACAAATATTTCCGAAGCGGAAGAAGAATGCAAAAAAATTTCACCTTGTGGGAACGGAAAAGTTTTCAAATGTGTCGACGAAGTAATTTGCGACATGCCGGACGGTGCCAAACTATTGGTTGGTGGATTCGGATTATGTGGAATTCCGGAGAACTTAATAGCGGCTGTATTGAGAAAAGGTGTAAAAGATTTAACCGTCGTTTCGAACAATGCAGGCGTTGAGGACTTTGGTCTAGGTTTGCTTCTGAAGGAATACAGGATAAAAAGAATGATAGCTTCTTATGTGGGTGAAAACCCTGAATTCGAGAAGCAGTACCTTAGTGGAAAGCTGGAAGTTGAGTTAACTCCTCAGGTAATTATAAAATGTAAGGGAAATTGAATTAACAACACGATGGCCTCCTAGTAATCGGACATTTATCAAAACAGGGCACGTTGGCTGAGCGTATTCGTGCTGGAGGTGCTGGCATACCAGCTTTTTATACTCCTACAGCTTGTGGTACGCTGATTCAGGAGGGTAATGTTGTTGTGAAGTACGACAGTATTGGGAATCCAGAAATATCTGGGGAACCAAGGGATATAGCAGAGTTTGATGGTAGACATTATGTTATGGAGACCGCTATCACTGGAGACTATGCCCTCATAAAAGCATGGAAAGCAGACAAAGCAGGAAACTTAATTTTTAGAAAATCAGCTAGGAATTTTAATCCGGTAATGTGCAAGGCGGCCACGATCGCGATTGCCGAGGTCGAAGAGATTGTAGAAGTTGGCGAACTGGACCCCGATCACGTTCATTTGTCAGGAATTTATGTCGACAGAATAGTTAAGGGTCCATGTTATGAAAAACGTGTGGAGGTTCGTGAACATAAATTGCTCTGTTCTACACCAATTTCGATTTACTTTAGGGACCTTTTCTAATTAGAAATGCCGCACAAAAGAAAGTGTAAAGCCAAAGAAGGTAACACCAGCCAGTAAAATAAAGGACAGGATCATAAAACGTGCTGCCCTTGAGTTCAAAGATGGAATGTATGGTAAGTCGCCAATGGAAACGTAAGCGTGGTTACGAATACGTTTATGTCCAAACAACTAAATTGCAGCTAACTTGGGAATCGGTATACCGGTCCTCGCGTGCAAATACATTCCTAAGCATGTAAAAGTGACCCTGCAATCGGAAAACGGTATTCTTGGTCTTGGGCCTTACCCAGATGAAAATGAAGTCGATCCAGATCTCATCAACGCCGGCAAGGAAACAGTTACAGTGGTGCCGGGTGCATCGTATTTCGGCAGCGAAGAAAGCTTTGCCATGATTCGAGGGTATGCAATGAAAGTTTCCTAGTTCATCGAAGGATCAGTACGAGTTTCGATTCTTCCAGGGGTCATGTTGATATGACGATGCTTGGGGCGATGGAAGTGTCGCAAACTGGAGATCTGGCGAATTGGATGATTCCGGGGAAACTGGTGAAAGGTATGGGGGGTGCTATGGACTTAGCAGCAGCGCCAGGAACTAAGGTGGTGGTCACTATGGCACACAAGTCCCGGAATGGAAACCCGAAGATATTAAAAAGTTGCACGATGCCGCTGACAGGTAATACCGACGTAGAAACTGCAGAGAATTAGGTTAATTGATTAATTCCTTTAATGTTCTTACTATTAACTAAACTATGTTTTACGGCATGCCAGGACACCAATGCGTGGATCTGATAATCACTGACATGGCAGTCTTTGAGGTGATGAAGGGGGAGGGATTGAAACTCATCGAAGTCGCGCCTGGTGTCGAGATGAGCGAAATAGTTAGCTCCACGGGATGCGAATTCTCAGTGGCTGATGATGTCAGAGAAATGAGGCAGGTGGACTCAGAGGAATGCGAATAACAACGGCAGCTTACTTAAAAACACTCGAGTTCACAATTGTAAAATTATACATACACACACACGCGCGCGGTCGATTTTGCTATAGGTTAAATAAAATCTACCATAAATAACTTAACGGCGGCTAAGTCTTGGCGAACAATGTAACATAATTTTGTAATCAATGATCGAATAGAATCGCCTACTCTCGGAACTTAGCCTTCACTCTGGCTGGTAAAGGAAGAAGATATAAGACGCTGTTGAATATGCAGAGTCCCACAGCGAATGCTAGAGAGATCAGTAGATTAAGATCGACGTTCAACACTTCGGAGATGTTCTCGCCTTCCCTAGTGAATCGTTCTATCAGATAGGTCCTTCCGTCGGGGTACCTACAGAGCTCAGGCACTCCAGGACAGACGAAGCTTTCGTTGTACTGAAGATTCAGGAACATCGGCATGTCGATGGCCAGTTGGTTCAGAGCCAGGGAGGCGTATCTAGCTGGCAACGCTGTGGACACTGCTGCTAGCCAATATGGTAGACCCTTAAGGCTCCTGATGGCGCCAGACGCCACCACGAGGGATGCTAGCGTCATGTATAAAACCGTAATGGCGCCTGTCACCGGCTTCCCAACCACCATCATCACTGCTACGGTCACCTGTTCGGCTGCCACATAGCTGGCCCATAATACACCGGACGCGTAGGCCCAGGAAGATAGCTCTAGTTCTAGGATGGGTATTAGGATGCCTATGGTGATCATGGAAGACAAGAAGCTGAGAGGCAGGCTCAGCAACGCGTATGCTGTTAGGAACATGGCGCCACCGTAGAGGCCTTCCCTTTTTTCCTGGTAGTATCTGGCACGATATCCTGGAACTGAAGACTTTATTATTAACACCAACTTAGTTACACCTAATTAACGAAGGTACTCACAGAGTAGAGCTGTGGAGGCAATTCCAGCAACGTAGAACAACGTCAGCACGTTGAAGGTCAAGCCACCAGTCTGCAAGAATATTCTAGACTGTACCGGCGTGGAATGGGAGTACAGAATGCTCATCAATGCCACAGAGAATGGCAGCAACAACAGCCTAGTGGCGAAGTGTCCCAGGCCCGATTTGTTGAACGCGAATGTTGCCGCCATGCCTCTCCTAGAACATTCATACGCTGTAATGACTATAGCAAAAGCATTACGAAGACTCGTCCAAATGATCGCTCACAAATAGAGGGCAAGCAGAGTGGAGAAGCAACCAGGCTTGATCCCCCGACCCAAGCCTTTGTGCATGATGCCGAGAGGCGTGTCCTTCATGTTAGGCGGCACTTGAGGAGCCTCCTTCATGTAGATGACACCCTCTGCCTTGAACTTGTCGACCAGCACTGATATCTGCTGATTGGACTCCAGGAACCGGTCCCTGGAGCGACGGTCGACCGTGGACAGGCACACTGTACATTCAATTTTCGGTTTTGCTCTTCGTTAGCTAGCCTTCTTTCTCGAATTATACTTACGGTAATACATCAGAGGGTTCTCCAACTCTGGGCAAGGGAATCCAATGTAAGTGAAGTAATCCAACATGCTTCTAGTGGGTCCAGAGTAGACCACAGCACCCAGACACAGCAGGGTCACTCGACTCACAAATGGGAGGACGTCTGATCTAGGTGTCTCCATAGTGAGGACTACGATCGACCCTCTTCTGGTAGCGTAGGACCAGAGCATGGAGACAATTAGATACGTGTTCAGAGGGTCTGTGTCCCATGTTGGCTCATCGAGGAGCAACAGTGTAGGATCCTTAGCCAGCTGAACCCCCAGCATGAGCCTTCTGTACTCCGGTTTCGTCAAGTCATTGACTGACCTGTTGGCAACCTGAGAGAGTGCCAGGTCTGCCAGAGTCTGTCTGACCCTGGCCTCCCTGTTGCTCAAGTTGGCCAACCAGATGGCATAGGTCAGAGTCTGTCGAACTGTCAGACTGGGCAGCAGGTGGCATCTGTGGGCTACGTATCCCCCGTGGCGTCTGAATAGCTCCGGTGTCAGCAGGTTATTGTTCAGAGTGACTCTGCCTCTTGTTTCCCCCTCTGCCCTCCCAGCTGAAAGAGATCCGAAGTTGTTCAGCAGTCCAACACCACAAACATGTTCTGCCTATTACCAATGACATCCAGCAGAGCCCTCTTGCCCGACCCCTTGGAACCCAAGATGGCTAGAACCTCTCCGCCGTGGACTCTAGCAGACACATCCCTGAGCACCGCAGTCGGCTCCGTCTTGCTCACACAGCTACCTTCTATCACCACCGCTGTCGAGTGGTACACGTTCGCTATGTCCAAGGTGCAGTCCGACGGTATCATCTTCCCGAATTCACATTGATCACACGGAATGTCAATTGGGAACTCACTCCACCATTCGAACGACTCCTCTCGTTGAAACTAAGGGGACGCGGGATCAACTGGACAGCTAGGTGTTCGTGGTAGCGACACGCCAGCCATTGCAGCTAGAAGGTAGCCATCGGCAACGATACCTGGACTTGGGAGTTGGCTCCGTGAGGTGAATGTCTCCTCTCCGGACAGAGATTGGTGGGAGGTCGAAGGTACACACCATCGGCGGGTAGCGCAACGACGTGCCTAGTTCGCAGAACCCTCCGCACTTCAAGGGTTCATCACAGATGCTCCTTTAAATGAATCTTACTGCAAAAATGTTGTACTTCGACTTGAGGGCATCAAATGTGCAACTTGTAGAGACAAGATGGACATCTTCTGGCACTTTTCCTGTTCCTTAAGCTTCTTTTTTGAAGAAGCTTTCGTTCCTGAAAGCTGAAGTTGAGTACTCCACGATAGCTAAAAGTAGCGTACCAGTTAGAAGGCCGTAAGTTTGGGTAGCGATTTTTAAAATGAAGGCCAAGTTAGTGCAACTTTGACTGATCTTGGGGGCCAACTGCGCGATGATCAGGGGCCCATGGTGCAGGTGGGCGCACCACTGCGAACTTGAAAGACATAGCGCTGCCTGGGAAGGGGCCTGGCCTAGAGGGGGGGTTCGGGCCCTCGGAAGGCACGTCTGTCAGAGAGGGCAGCGTTCAGAAAAGGCTCCATGCGAGTCAGCAAGCGTCGCACATACCGATCCGTTGTCTGTCGCGGTGTCAGTAGCCGCGGATCGAGTGATGCGTCCGCTAGAGACGGTTTCCGTGGCGTTAAACCGAGTGCACCGCTTGGGACGCGTTGATTCGACCACGAAGCGCGATTAGAACAGCCGAGGGCCACGAAGGAGGACCGGTGGATATCGGATCATGGAGGACCAGCATCGTTACCTTGACTCGACGAGCCTCGGTTGAAAGCTCATCGTGAACGCCGCCGGTGAGTCATTGTCGCGAATAAGACTCCGAAATTCCTCCCGAAGAACACGCGGAAGAAAGAGAGAGAGAGCTAAAGCGACGCTAGGAGGCTTCCTGGAGAGATTACGCGAGCAGATTTTCCCTCGGTTGCGTGCCATGAGGGAAAATCGGAGAAAAAGAGACCCGGGCGATAAAGCAACCGGCACGGTCCCGGTTCAACGACTGGGAACCTGATTTCGCGGAACGAGAAAGCCCTAGGCCCGGTGAAAGCGAAGGCCCATGAGGCCTCCCACTCCTTGTAGGCCTTCCGAAATTTTCAAAATTTTGCCCGACCCCTCGAAGTCGATTTTGAGTCGAGTAGCGGGTCACTCGTGACCCGTAGCACGTGTATATTACGAGACGAGAGAATCTCGGGTCCCCCGCGACCTATGGTTCCGAGTTACAAAGGAATTACGAAAGCGTTATGAAAATGATGTTGCAAACTATGTCTTTGTAGCTAATGTGAAGATCGTTTCATTAGGTACTTCATTAACATGGTTATTAAAAGCGGCAACGATTCTTTCTGGGAGAGGGGCTGCAACCTTGGTAGACAGATAACTACAATAGCATGGTAACGGGTCTCTATTTCACACTGGGCATACAGATAAATGGAAAAAAATGCTATGAAAAATAACATTGATGGTTGCGATGCGCGATATGGTGGGAATAACCATGGGAACGGATCGCAGATAATTGAAAACTGTGGAAACCGTATAATTTACGCGCGAACGTTTTGCATAAGATGCTGAAAGAGATAGTGTACCGCTTCTTAGAGTGAAAATCTTGGTGCGGGTTAAAAGTGACCCGGTCATCGCCAGCGACGTCCACTCTGGAAAAATTGATTCCCTTCGAGACATAAACGTGGCCCTTCGATAGATCGAATTTTGTCGTATTCTAGCATCGTTAGAAATTCAGTAACGGAGAGCAAGAAGCACGTTGGACGGCTCGTTTCGCGCGGGCAATTTGAATTTCGCCTTCGTCACTTTCACCGGGCCGATTATAAGCGCTGTAACGCCCGAGGGCATCGGATTGAGCCATCCGAACAATGATCGCGAGGACTTCGATGCGCGCACAAGACGTGCCTTTTCCTCCGCTCTCCACGTGGCACGCCGGATCTACGTTTCTAATTTTTTTTTTACACCTACAATTACCGCACTTTTCGTGTACCAATTACTCCACTTTTTTTTCGCGTGTGCATTGTAACGGCAAGAATTTCACAAGCAGCGGAGCAGCCTGATAAGTTCGATATCGCGAAATGCACGCGGTAGATCCAGGCCATCGCCCCATTAAGATCCACGCTGTGGATCACGAGCGCACGATTCAGAGCCGAGCGTAGAAATCGGTGCGTGGGACAGTCCCACAGCCACCGGAAGAGATTTCGAAACCGGAGTGTGTGTCGTCCCCTACCCGGGCACTGTCGTGTCAAGTTCCACGCCGGCTAACAAGAATTATTAACACGTCGTCTACCATGGTGGTCACCTGGTAAACACCGTCATTATACCATCAAAAGGTGCCCCCTTTGGCCCCTCCCCTTGCAATTAACCATTAACCCTCTCGAGAACCAGTCTTTTTCTTAAGAGAGGTTAACGTTATCGTAAATGTGCTCGAAAAATTACAGTTACACTTCTTAAAAATTGGAGGGGGTGGAAACAGTTAGGAAAGATGTTTTAAAAAATTTAGGACGACTACAACTAATGGCGAATGGGTGTAACTAAATCTGGAGGGGTGAATATGATACTGGATAGCGTTTTAAAAAATCCAGGGGTTCTAAAAATGATTGTATACTGGTCTAAAAAGTCGGAAGGGGAGGAAACAATAATGCATGATATTTTAAAAAATCCAGGGGCTCGAGAAATAATTGCATACGGTTCTAAGAAATTGGAAGGGGTGGAAACAACAACGCACGGTGTTCTAAAAAATCCAGGGGTTCTAAAAATAATTGTATACGGGTCTAAAAAATCAGAAGGGGAGGAAACAATAATGCGTGATGTTTTAAAAAATCCAGGGGCTCGAGAAATAATTGTACACAGATCTAAAAATTCGGAAGGGGTGGAAACAACAACGCACGGTATTTTAAAAAATCCAGGAGCTCCAAAAATAATTGTACACGGTTCTAAAAAATCGGAAGGGGTGGAAATCACTATAAACTGTCTCCCAAAAAATTCGTAGGGACCAAATACAATCTCGTAAAAATAAAACATGTCAAATATAATTATTCAACGTTGTTTTCAAATACTGCAAGGATTTCTGATAAAGTAAGAAAGCATATGCCGATCCTTTCAGCCAATGGCGTGCACTCCGGGCGACCTTGAAGGGTTTAGCATCGCCTCCAACTAAACAAAGGAACGAGGAAAACAAAATCCAGAGCGGAATTTCGTTCGAGTGACGCGATCGACGGCCTCGTAGCACACAACTATCGCTTTTCGAAGCGCGAAAGTCTAAACTCGAACAGGTCGAAAAGTGAATTTGCATAGGCGCTCATATATATATAATTCCTTTGTGTGTGTGTGTGTGTGCGTACGCGTGTTGCCGAGTCTGCAGCTAATGGCGATGAAAGCCAGCGGACCGTGAGTGGCCGGCCATTAACGAAAGATATCAATTAAATATCATTTTCCCACCGTCCAGTGTGGCACGCATGGCTCACCGAGCACGGGACACACGTTCTGCAAACAACCATAAGCTTCCCGGAATGTTTTACGGGCTCGTTTCCAGCGCCCGGTGCACCGACGCTAAGTTTTGCCGGCTCGACGCGGAAAAACGAAAAAATTCGTCGTAACAGTCGTTTCCAGGTTCGCGAGTCGCGCGGTAAACGGGATATGCAAATGCACAGTTAACTTGGATAGGCCTAGTATAGTTATCGACCGGTCAAAAGAACCGTGACGCGTTACGTAAAAGAGCCTCCATTAACGCTGCAGCTAGTAGACCGCGGAAAACCAATGGTTGATATCGTTCCATCGATGGATTATACCGATTCCGATCGTCCTTCCGACCATCGGCGTGATTGCAGCCCTACTAAACGTTTCGGCTAATTCTCCGCATGGTTTTAGAACAATGTTGCATATATGCGAGATAGAAACAGGCGCTAGAAAGTGTTCGGCACAAATGTTTTCAGAGAGATTGCAAATGCTCCACAATGCTCCACAAATCTTTTAGATCGATTCGAGGTTTTCCGGCACAGAGAATCCTCTTTGCAGCATCGTGCTGCTATTTGCTAGCTGGAGAATAATTTTCTAGGGCAGTTGCAACACCTGCAAGTCGAATCAGAGTTTCTTCTTCGGTTGATCTCAATGTAAATCGAAGAAGGTACAAGATTCTTGTATTTCATTACGGTGTTACAATTTAAACCGTGACGATTGGATCGTAACTCGAGGAACCAAGATGGCGTCGACCCGCACATGCCTCCCAGATGCGGGTACAGTTTTACGTTATCGCTAGAAACGCTTCTGAAAGTGGTCCGAAATTGTTTCACCAATGTAACGTAATAAACTCGTTCAATTTGTATTATTTAATTATTATACTTCTGGAAAATATGAAAAATGTTGAATATGAAAAATACAGTTTACGCCGGGTGCTGCTATATTCGGCTCGAGGAAAATTCCCGTTCGTAATGCACAGTTCGGGTAGTAATTCCGCCGAGTTCCTTCGTAATGGCGGTATCGGTCTGCAGGAGCAGTGATTAGGCGGCGCGAGTAACGTAGAATCTTGGGTAGCGTTTCAGGCGATCCTCGATTGTACCGTTACACTCTATCATCAATAAAAATATCAGCTGATGGTGGACGAGAGAGACCCAGCTGTCTGGAGTCGTCAGGATCTGTCGGTGTCCTCGCGCAGCACCTGTGAACCAGCTGTTCTGAAACTAATTGGCGCCTGTTCAGACAACAATGCGCCATTCGGTCGCACGAACATTGCCGGCTCTAATTAATGGTCAATTTGTTCGATCGGGGTCGTTGAAAACGGCTGGATAAAGGCGAAACTAGTCACCGAAATGGTTGGCAAATAATAAGGAAACGGGATCCGATTTTTAAAAAAAATAGAGCAGGGTGAAAAGAATCACGGATTTAGAGAATCTACGAATAATTGTAAAATCAGGAAGGGTGGTTATTGTTGCGGACAATGTCTTAAACTATCTTTAGACTGCTTTAAAGAAAACTATGGAGCGCTAGGAATAAACGTGTGTCGTTAAATAAGGAAGTTAATGGTCTTAGCATTCCACCAACTAAATGAGTAAGAAAGAGTATACTCATCCCCTGGCTAATCGACCACGAAGAGTAGCACAGAAAAGGCGTGAGACTGGTCGCAAAAAGGATGCCGGGAATGTAAACGACGTGTTAATAGAATCAGGACCGCCGCAATTAAATAAATCGTTTCGAGGAGCCCGCATTGCCGAGCGGTTCATATTTTTCAAGAACCTGCTCAAAGAACGCCGAGATATCTCGCGCCGAAGTACGAGCGTGAGTCAACACGGCTAACGGGAAACATCGGGTTCTGTTGTAAAAGAACGAAGTACCATCGGACGCTTAGGTATTTGCATGGAAAGACCGGCTCTCCTCTCTCGCGATTCCGTCGTTATTGTTCGCGCTGACCGTTGGAGGTCCCGGCTCTTCGGGGATGAAGGAAATGAAGCAGATCTCCGCCAGGACCTTCGAAAAGTGCACGCAGGAAGGCGGATCAGTCACACCTCTTCGCAGACCTGCCACGGGGTTAGCAAAACCTTCAGTCTTGGATAGGGGATTCGAATCTAAAAATTCCAGATTTTTAATATATTTTTAATTTAAACGACTCCCATGGGTTTAGGACAAAGGACAAACAAAATGTTCAATAAAAATTGTATTTCCGCGTCTCGGGCGAACGGTTAACGAGCGTGGAAAAATTGGCCGGCAGGAATTCGCGGCGGGTTTTCTCCTCGGGCCCGTTTCGGGCCAGTATTCTAGTCGGCTATTTTCCTTTCACGCTGCCGCCGTAGTCAGAGGGGGAGTGAGAGCGAACGGCGGAGAATTTCGAGTCTCCGGCCGGCAGCGATTCCGAAGGCACGCCGATAATCGCGTGTTCCCGGGGTCTGGCCGGAGAGCGCCAAATAACCCTATCTCGTGCGGTGCTAAACCTATGGAAATCCGCTGTTCAGACGCAGGAAACCATGGGCTCAGAGGCGTGGGAGCTGGAACGGAGATACTCGGTCCCTGGAGCCTTAGATACCAGGGGATTGGAGCCGCCTGCTAGCGAAGACCTGCACGCCTGGTCCATTTACAGGTGACTCATTCCTCAGAGATTCTTCCCCGTGCAACTGTAAACCTCTGGCGACGTCGGCAATTCAAGTTATCTGTCTTGCAGGCAAAACCTGAACTCGGACTTCACGGATTCGGCGCTGGGGTCCGCGGAGAAGTCGCCCCTGCCTTACGGCAACTTCCAGCTGCGGGACTCGACGGTGCAGAGCATCCTCAGGCACCCCAGATACGGGCCCAAGAGTCCTCTAGCCAGCAACTCCTATACTTACTTGAAGTTTGGTCTGCCGAGGGTGCTGCCTCCTAGCGCGCGCAACCGGGACGGGTCTAGCGGTTACGATTCCAGCGAGGAGGGTCGCAGAGTGTCCCACGCAGGTACTTCGGGTCATGGGACCTCGGCCATGCGATCTGCGAGGAGCGACCCTGACTTCAGGCACGTTCACGCTGTGCCGAGGGAGCATGCTCATTCTCAGCTGACGGTTTCCAGAGAGAATCCGAGGTTGAGAAGTGCCAGCGAAGCTAATCTGCTCCAGGGAGGGCCTAGGAACAACCGGAGGCACAGCATAGCACCCATAGACCCCGGTTACGGGGTCCACGAGCCTAGAGGTAGACCGCTGAACCGGCCACAATGACGTAGTAGTACAAGATAGTCTCTTTTACACTGAATAATCATTTAAATCATTGTCTAGGCCATGGTATGCTCGGGCCGGAGGGCTACTCCATGCCTCTGAGACCTGTGCCCTGTCTGCAGCATCCTCATCTTCAGCTGAGAGGCGTGGAAGCTTCCGGAAGCGATGGGTTGCCGCTTCTCAGGGGGATCACCTTGGAGGCGGGCGCCACCGAGGTCCTGGCTATCATGGCGACCACCGAGAAGGAGGGCAAGCATATAGTGGAGACCATCGCTGGCCGGAAGAGGATTAAACGGGGGGACATCTTGCTGAATGGGAAGTCTGTGTCCTCGCGTTCCTTAAGGTATGGCTTGACAAGACCCTTTTCTCAATTTTATCTCTATCATAAAGACGATCACCAAGAAAAATTATTCAACTGTGTTCGCAGGTCCCGCGTCGCCTATCTGTCTACAGAGAGCGGCCTGAGTCCCGGTCTAACAGCTCAGCAGACCCTCAGCTTCTACATGCTGCTGAGGGGCGGCCCCAATACGTCCCAGCTGGAGGCCGACGCCGTTCTTCAAGAATTGGGCCTGGAGGCAACGAAACACTGTCTAGTGAACTCATTGACGACTTCGGAGGCAAGGAGACTGGCCCTAGCCTGCCGCCTGCTACAGGACTCCCATGTCCTGGCGCTGGACAGACCCACGCACGGTTTGGACATCTTCGACGCGTTCTTCCTGGTCGAGTATCTGAGACAGTGGGCTCACAGGGGCCAGAGACTAGTGGTTCTAACCTTGCATCCGCCCACCTACGAGATCCTGACAATGGTCTCGAGAGTGGCGCTGACTTCCGGTGGCAGGATCATGTACTCCGGTCTCAGGCGGGATATGTTGCCATATTTTGCGCTCGCCGAGTTCCCTTGCCCCCCTTTCAAGAACCCCTCTGACTATTATTGTACGTATCCGAAGTGCAAAACAATATCAGCAGCTCCTAAAACGATGTTTTCTTGCAGTGGACTTGGTGACGTTGGACGACCTATCGGCCGAAGCGATGCTAGAGTCCTCTCAGAGGATAGACCACCTAGCGGAATTAGCCAGGACTAGGCTGCCTCCGCTGACCGATCCTGGACCACCGGGCGCATTACCCCCTTCTATCTCGAGCCCTAACATTTTTATGCAGATCTATGCGTTGTTGCTGAGGACGCTGATCTACAGCCAGCCCTGGACGCTGACCAGACTGTTGAAAAAAATCGTGGTCTCGGCGTCGCTCAGCATTCTACTCGGTGCAATATTCTGGGACGTCGCTGGGGACTCTAATCTGTACCTGAGGGACAGGGTGGGCTTTCACTATGCCAGCCTAGGCATATTCTTCTGGCCCCTGTGCATGATCGCCATCTGCGAGGTGGCGGACTGCAGGCCCAACGTGGAGAGAGACATCAAAGATGGCCTCTATGGCAGATTCATCTACATCCTGACAGAGGTAAGCCCGATTGAAGGTAGCTAAGAATGCTGCTGCTAGCCCTACCTTCTTTTCCAGCTGCTTTGTGGAGCAGTGTCTTGGTGCATAGTCTATCTAATCTACCTGGCACCTGGCTACGCCATGTCTGGACTCCACCTGGTGCCCGACGAAACCTTGATCTCTCTGTGGAATTATCTGAGTATCGGCTTGCTGTATCTCATCCTGCAGCACTTCATTTGCATCCTGTTTGCTCACACATGCAAGTGGATCTACCTAGCTTCCCTATTTTCGGGAATCGTGATAGGGGAGATGACACTAGCTGGTGGGGTCACCCTGCATCTGGAGAACCTGCCAGGCTGGTACCAGAAGATCAGCCCGATGCAGTGGTCCCTGTCTCTGCTGCTGCCCTCTCTTCATCAGCCTGAGGTCATGAACAAGCTGAACAACTGCAAGCTGAAACAGATCCAGAGGCAGGACATCATCGTCCAGGCCGCCTGTGAACCACCGGATGGTGCTCTAGCATTATACGAGATCGCTTTGGACAAGTTCAACGTGCAAGGAGAGTTGTGGTTGGGGATAGGAATAGCCATAGTTAGCGTACTGATAATCATAGTGTTCTTGTGTATCAGGTATACAACTCCTAAGAGACTTAGAAGCGCGCCGAACAAGCCATAAAATGCAAACTGTTGAACGAACGGACGGACGCATCTGTACCGAACCTAATCGCCCCATCGAGTCTCAAAGGACAACCCTATCTTTTTTAGCTGACCGACAAAGTTGCAGTCCGGCGAGTGCAATAATGTTGAATAGGAACGTATCGAGCGCGCGCCATTTTGTACCGTGCGATGCTCGTTGGTCCCGATCTTGTTGTCTACATTGTTGCGACTTTTTGAAGCGACAGGCTTCAGGAACTCGCAAAGTAGACTCGTGCAATAATGTTCCGAGACTCGGCTGGCCATTGTACCGCTTCAACGACAACGAAACCTAGTAGAGTAATCTGCATTTATCACGCTATAATCAAACCATCAACGAGAAGTGTTCTTACGAAATAAAAGCCAAGACATCTACCCACATTGTTGCTTATTATCAACCGAGTGCCAGATGGTCGGACAGCGCTTTAAGAACACGGAGCCACGGTTCGTTCTCGCAACGAAGCCACGGGCTCGGTTGATATCGTCGCGCAACATGTTTGCAAGCTCCATCTGCAATGTTAGCTGCGTCGGTACAGCAAGTCGCTACTATAGCGTCCGTTGGTAACGATTGAACAATGCAGCAGAGAATCCGTCACGATTTAAAAGATGGAGATCGTTATTGCTCATTGACAATCAGTATTTATAAGCATCGGTTTAGGCCTGAACAAATTGAATCGAAAATCGATGACGCGTTCCGTGACAAATTTCGTCCGAAAGCGATCTCGTTATTTATTAACGAGCCGAGAGACTTTTGGACTGTCGAAATCGATACACTGGCCGGGTAAATATATCCGCCGGTTATCGCGACAGTACATATTCTAAGAGATAATTGCCGTAGGAAATAGACTGGTCGTGTTGACTAATTGAACGGATCCGGAGTAATTTTGTAACGGGCCAGCTAATTCGCCGGCGATCCGAACACGACCACTTCAGGATTTATCTGACGTTGATAATCAATCAATCCGGTTGATACCGTTGCTCGTTCTTTTTTTTATCTGGCCCGACGTGTCGTCGATTACGAGTCGCCGATAAGATCGTAGGCTATCAATTTCCTTAGTCGGATCTACGGAATAGACGGCCTCTTTCCTGGAAGAATTAAATTCAACGAAACGGACGTTTTAACGAGCACCGCCGTCCGCGGGGGGAGAAAAAGAAAATACGTTCGATAAGGCAGAGCAAATTTATATTTCCGGTTGTGATCGATCAGCGCGGCGTCCTATTTCGATGATGGTTACATTTGAACTTTTTCTCGGCGATATTTAGATGGAAATTGCAAATGTCAGTGGGAAATAGAATTTTTCATGATTCTTCGAAACAGCCTGTTGGATTCTAGCGGATACGAAAAGTTCAATTAGAGGCGACGCTTTGCGGCGCTCTAAATATAAAGCCAATGATGAAATTCGACGATCTCGGTGCTTTGTATCGATCGAACCACCGGAAGTCGTCGTTCTATAATTCGCGGGGTGTTGGTTGCTGGGACTGGCGTGCTCCGATGCGAAACAGAGACCCGTTTAAGCAGAAATTACGCCTCTTAATTACCTAATGAGATAATGAAAATATATATATATATATATATATATATATATATATATATATATATATATATATATATATATATATATATATATATATCNTAAAATGCAAACTGTTGAACGAACGGACGGACGCATCTGTACCGAACCTAATCGCCCCATCGAGTCTCAAAGGACAACCCTATCTTTTTTAGCTGACCGACAAAGTTGCAGTCCGGCGAGTGCAATAATGTTGAATAGGAACGTATCGAGCGCGCGCCATTTTGTACCGTGCGATGCTCGTTGGTCCCGATCTTGTTGTCTACATTGTTGCGACTTTTTGAAGCGACAGGCTTCAGGAACTCGCAAAGTAGACTCGTGCAATAATGTTCCGAGACTCGGCTGGCCATTGTACCGCTTCAACGACAACGAAACCTAGTAGAGTAATCTGCATTTATCACGCTATAATCAAACCATCAACGAGAAGTGTTCTTACGAAATAAAAGCCAAGACATCTACCCACATTGTTGCTTATTATCAACCGAGTGCCAGATGGTCGGACAGCGCTTTAAGAACACGGAGCCACGGTTCGTTCTCGCAACGAAGCCACGGGCTCGGTTGATATCGTCGCGCAACATGTTTGCAAGCTCCATCTGCAATGTTAGCTGCGTCGGTACAGCAAGTCGCTACTATAGCGTCCGTTGGTAACGATTGAACAATGCAGCAGAGAATCCGTCACGATTTAAAAGATGGAGATCGTTATTGCTCATTGACAATCAGTATTTATAAGCATCGGTTTAGGCCTGAACAAATTGAATCGAAAATCGATGACGCGTTCCGTGACAAATTTCGTCCGAAAGCGATCTCGTTATTTATTAACGAGCCGAGAGACTTTTGGACTGTCGAAATCGATACACTGGCCGGGTAAATATATCCGCCGGTTATCGCGACAGTACATATTCTAAGAGATAATTGCCGTAGGAAATAGACTGGTCGTGTTGACTAATTGAACGGATCCGGAGTAATTTTGTAACGGGCCAGCTAATTCGCCGGCGATCCGAACACGACCACTTCAGGATTTATCTGACGTTGATAATCAATCAATCCGGTTGATACCGTTGCTCGTTCTTTTTTTTATCTGGCCCGACGTGTCGTCGATTACGAGTCGCCGATAAGATCGTAGGCTATCAATTTCCTTAGTCGGATCTACGGAATAGACGGCCTCTTTCCTGGAAGAATTAAATTCAACGAAACGGACGTTTTAACGAGCACCGCCGTCCGCGGGGGGAGAAAAAGAAAATACGTTCGATAAGGCAGAGCAAATTTATATTTCCGGTTGTGATCGATCAGCGCGGCGTCCTATTTCGATGATGGTTACATTTGAACTTTTTCTCGGCGATATTTAGATGGAAATTGCAAATGTCAGTGGGAAATAGAATTTTTCATGATTCTTCGAAACAGCCTGTTGGATTCTAGCGGATACGAAAAGTTCAATTAGAGGCGACGCTTTGCGGCGCTCTAAATATAAAGCCAATGATGAAATTCGACGATCTCGGTGCTTTGTATCGATCGAACCACCGGAAGTCGTCGTTCTATAATTCGCGGGGTGTTGGTTGCTGGGACTGGCGTGCTCCGATGCGAAACAGAGACCCGTTTAAGCAGAAATTACGCCTCTTAATTACCTAATGAGATAATGAAAATATATATATATATATATATATATATATATATATATATATATATATATATATATCGGTGTCCTTATTACGCCCACACGTTTCTGCATGAGATCCGCCGGTGTCCGTCGCGATCGAATTTTCGTCGCAGCGTTTCTCCCCCAACCGTGTTTCGTGTTCGCAAAAAGCCATTGAAAGGTTAAACGTTTTTACCGTCCAGCGTCGAAAAAGAAAGAAAACATCGTGACAGCTATAAAACAAAAAAGGTCGGCTGGGTTTTCGAAGCCAGTTAAAAAACTGTCAGGAGCTTTTCCGTTCGGGCTCGATGCGTTTTCGAAATGGTTTTCCTGTTTCGCGAACGAGGTTACGAGCGAGAAATTGTTACCCTACGCTTTCCGCGTTATTCCACGTAAGCCAATCACGCCCACGACGAGATTTCGAGGTTCCATTTTCCCCTGGGTAAAAAGAAAAAAAACAGAATAACGCTTCCACGTTGTCCGATTATTTTTCCACGAGGGGGATCAGAAACGCGCGAGGAACTCGGAATCTCTCCACGGGAATCGGAGTCCCTGCGTGTACTTTTTCCAGGAATCCCGAGCGCCCAGTCGCGCACAGCCTACACGACGGGGTTAATTACTCTCATCGGCGGAAGCCGGCGTTTACGACGATTGCTCATCGTCAATTTATACTAATTCGGTGAACGAACGCCGCGGAGGAACTCGACCGATCCCGGGCCCCGGGGGAAAAAGTACGAGAAACAACGGATCCGAGACGAAAATACCTCTGTCAACTACCGTTTGAATTCCTTGAAACAGATTTCCGGACACGTCGAACGAGAATTCCTCTAAACGAATTTCACGACGATGTTCTCTGAACGCGCGATTTGGAACGCCGCTTCATGGCCGGAAAAAAAAGAATAGTCCACCCAGCAGGCACTTCCGGTTCCATCGAGACCGAACGTTGGCCGGACGGAAAAACCGTTCATTGATACTTCGGAACACCGGCGGATATCGCTGGCAGGGTACGGCGGCCGGGAATAGCGCGCCGGATTTTGGAAAATATACAAACCGGGCCGGAAACGGTCGTGTAAATTAAACAGAGGCTCTATTTCAACAGCGAAGCGCCTGATACTTTGCAGCAGCGAGTAATCAAACCGTGGTAGTATCTTCGATAACGGAGGAAACGGCAGTTTTAAAAAGCCCAATTGTAATATGTATCCGTACGCTGACGAAAAAATTGTCCGAGTAGTACGATAGGAAACGGAAATTAACTGAAAATGAATTTCAACGTTCGTCGAATCTGAATACAAAAGCATAAAGCAAGAACAGCGTGTACGAGTTTGCATCGAGCCGATGTGAGAGGTGCCTAAGTCGGCCGATGCCAGTTCCGGAGGTTGGAGACGTCGATTACCGGGTCGGATCGATGGTATTTATTGTCGAGATCATCGGACGTGTCGTTTCCCGCGCTTCTCCGTTCGACAGAGAGTAATCTGAATACAGGCGGCGGCCGCTTCTCTGAATGACTCTCGAAACTGGTGCGCCCACATTCCTCCGGCCATGTAACGCCTCTACGGTGGCTGGAGGCTGCCTATAGGATTTCATCCCGTTCCCTTCGTGTCCCTGTCCCCTCTCTCCCGTGCCGCCTATTGATGCGGATGAAAGTGCGCGGCTCGCTCAAGGCCGCCGCCCCTCCACCGCCTCCCACGGAACGCAATTCAATAAATTATATACCTGACTGTACCGCGGCGAGCGCCGTGCACAACACGGAAAGTCCTCCACCTGATTTTATTCACCATCTTTCGTCGGACGGGTTCCATTCACCTTTCCTGACCTTAAACGTAATTCCGAATCGCGCCGCTCGATAAATGCCTCACCCTTTCGACGTTACAACGATGACATCGTCGATAGAAACTTGCGGTTCTTCCGGAGGTACGGCAACAGCGTCCGCCGGCAGTGGCGCTCGATCGTAGCAGTCGCCCCCGCCCTACGGTCTCGCGCGTCGCCGACTGCGCCGAGCGTTGAGCATCGCTGGCTGCGCGGCGTTGCCAGGTCGCCTGGCGTTTCGTTTGAAAACGATGCGATTAGATGGTAATGGAAATGGGCAACTGTGTACGCAGAGACGGGATCGTTTCAGTAATGTGCGCGATGATTGAACGGGTTCGAAGTTTGTGCGAAGACAACAACGTGCCACGGGTGTCTGCTCGATAGCAACACAATGGGGATTGGCCGTTTAATTAGCTCGTTAGAGAATACCTTTTCCGCTGGGATCTAAGAATACACCGATACGCGGAGGTGGCCGCGCGCGCGCGTGTGTTTGCCGGCGCGCGTGTGTGCGCGCCCGTTGTACACAGGACGTATACTTTACCCGTTAATACAGGATGACGGGCACATGGTGGTAGGTGGGAAAGCGGTGCCGGAGTAAAATAATCAATGAAGAGGCGAACGGTACCGGGAGGGAGAAAGCGAAAGAACTTCATACGATCGCGCCCACGCGGTGAGACCCACCAGCTCGTTATCCCATGCTGTTTTTATTCTTCCTGCCCGTACACGCATTCTCGGAGACCTTGCCAGGAATTGTGCCGAATCGCCGCGAGATCTGGACGATTAAGTATCGGCTGGCTAAAGTCCGTCACGCCCACCTGCTTTTGTAACTACTCCACGAAATTCGAGGATCGCTGAACCGCGCGAGCGACTCTCGGCTCCTGTATATTCGTGAAAACGAATCAGAGGACGATGTATCCGAGCACATTTTGAAGCTCGAAGACTCCGCTTTCAAGCCATCCGAGTCATTTTATCTTAGAAGTATCGTGTCGTCGGTGGTTGCATGTTCAGTAGAAATAGTCATCCTTTGAAAATTGTTCGAATTCGCGAACCTCTCAGAAGTTCAAAATATTTTTTTCCTTGAACAAAGTCACTATGATCTTATAGAATGAAGTCCCCCCTTTCGAACGAGACCAAAAAAATTACTCTGCGATTTTTCTACGCCGTTTTGTGACATTTCGAATCAAAAGTGTGTCATCGGCACTAGAAAACTCACATGGTAAATGTTCGTCGATATTCAAAGTATCATAACTTCTTGAAAAAAAATCGTAGGACGATGTCTCTTAGCTCATTTTAAAGAGAGAAACCTACTCTATAAAAGCATCTTAGTTATTTATTTAGAAAAAAATTGTTTGATCCCCGTAGATTTGCTTCTGTACAACGTGCATTCTTTGTTAATTTTTGACAAGCTAACTATGTTCGCTTCCGTTGAAAAAATTCCCCGGGGATTTCGGGTAGCCCGGCCCCCATAGGTTCAGGGTTAAGGACACCGTGGCATCTCGAGCGACACGGAAAAGGAGCCGGCTGAGCCATAGTCGGAGTCGGCGGAGCGCGCTCGGCGAAGAAAGCTGCCGGATGCAGGAGAGGCGAGGGACATCATTATCTTATCTCGAACCATTTCCTGTCAACCTGGGGCCGCTTTTCGTGGTAATCACACGCGCACACGCCCACGCGTCCGCAGCGTGCACCGACACGCAGCCGAGCGCGTGCACTAATGCCCGACCGAGTGTTGGGGAGTATTGCTTCCGGTGCGTTGCACACTCGCTCTCCAACGTGCGTGTGCGTGTGCGTGTTGTACGTCTACTTGTTTCGTATTGGGGGACGTTTGCACTGCCGTCGATGTTGCTCGGCTAGAACCCTTCGAAATCAACTTCCATTGCACTCTTAATCTCATTCTGCAGCTGTTTCAAAAGTATTCGCAAACTCTGATTTTCGAAAATCGATCAGATTCGAACCGTCACTACGTTGCCAAAAAAGATCGTACAATACTGTTTTTGGTCTCATTTCGAAGGGTGAAGCATCT